GTCAAAATTGGTAAGTGATTTCTCCAGTACCCTGACAACAGAATTGCGATCTCAAAATTCGAGAAAAATGACGAGTGTAGCTGAAAAAATGGAACAAATCGATGCGAGATATCGTATGCCGTTCTGACACAAAGTATGCCGCCCAGAATCATCCTAAGTCAAACATCCTCCATGGCATGCAAGAGCCCCTTTTAATGGACGATTTGGCAGAGCTCCCATTCCATGTCCGTCAAAAGTTCCAAGGAAGTTCGGGAAAATCCAAAAGATCCGAAATATTTCGGGAATTTCAAAAGTTCCGGAAAAAATTAAGGAAAATCTCAAAAGTTCCGAAATTTGGAACTAGTTCCGGGAAATGAGAGCACTGGAGATTTGCTGGCTACATGGTTCCTTTTGATTTTGTTTATTTCAAAAAGTTCCTTTCAGCATAAGCACTGATGTCCAAATGTAATAGGGATTCGTTCCTTTTACTGGGTCAATAGACTGCAGAAGAGAGAAGAAAATCACAACAACGTCACGGGTAATGACACAAATACCGAGACGGACCGGGAGCGCATTATTTTGTTTGGATTAGACGATAGAAATGACGGAATGTCGTCTTGGACGTCATCGGTAGCTACATTGATGATCTGTCAAAGATGACCTGGATGGACCCCTCTCAAAAAAGGATGCGGAAAAATGGGAGTAGGAGGTTGAAAGGGAGAGGGAGTGGAATAATGCCAAATGGCAGCAAGTTGTCCACCGCATGAGCTTTGAACCAGGCCCTTTTGAATGCCTCTGAGCTCCAGAGCTTATCAGCGTTGTCAATTTAATCGAAGTCAGGGCGAAAGTTATGTAATTAAGTTAGATGAGAGTATAGGTACCACTCTATAGGGGGGTGGTAACTCGAAGCAATTGCGAATCAATGTAGGTAATCCTTTGGATAGATAGATGCAATGTTTTACTATAGAGTTTTGCTGGATCATAAAAATTATAATTTTGGGATCTCATGTCTCCCTTAATCACGATGTAAACCGTGAGAGGCCTCCTTAAGGAAAAGAACTGCCGGAATTGTCCAAGGATCGGCTATGAGTGAGACCGCATTTGAAAGGTTTCAGATACTTTATCCAATTGGAAAAGTTTTCCGACCGGGGAAAAATAATATTCCCACCTTTTTTTTAGAAGTGCTGTTAAGACTTCGACGGAAAAATCTTGGCGAACGATCTAGTTGGCAGAAGACTCAGAATAGACTTTCCCTCCTTTTCCTTATTACATTCGGGCCGTGATTCGAGCTTTCGTAAATCGTTAGCCGTAAAAGCTCATATTCCCACGCGGGACAAAATGATAATGGTTTTACGTCATAGATAACCCAACAGTCTTGTCCCATCAACAGTTCAGCTATGAGAAACCTCGCTTTGAACATTCTGGAGTGCCGGTAGATACGTTGTTTCTCTGGAACTCCCGATACTGATGGATCACGTTAGTCTGATGACATTCAATTAATTCAACGTTCGGGAAATGTTTGTGGGCGGGAGGAGAAATCTTCCGTGCTGAGCTGAAACGTCGTATGATACATCGAATGTCGCCAAGTTCCCGAGATAAAATATTTACATTTAGGAAACGAAGGATATTACTGATGCGAACTTCAAGAGATATTNCAGCGTTTTTCAACTCATGACTTTGAAACGTTTGCACACTCTGTATGGATTATTCTCATTTTAATTTATGAAAAAAAATATGTATTAAAGGAAAATATAATGTGCGTTTTGTAAATATTAAGGTAATTCCGTACAAACTTAAGGATTTACAAAGCACACGAATTTCTACACAATTTCTTATAGCCTTTTATAGCCGATGGCGAAAAAGCAACAGCCAGGCGATAGGAACTATAGCCCGGCTGTATAATTTTTCATCGCTTCGTGTAGCCCGGCCGTATGATTTTTTCCACTTTCTACAGCCAGCTATATAATTTTCTATCGCCTTCTTCAGTCGGCTATAAGAACTCCTATGGTATTTTGAAACGCAGCTCCTACCGCCAATTTTTACCAGGGTTCACAGAGTTCACTTCGCACAGAGAGGGAAAAACATGGAAGTTTTCAAGAATTGGCATTGAGTAGTTTCCTATTTAAAAAAAAAATAATGCCTTTGCCTTTTTGCCTTTTGTGTTTGGTATTTTTGGCACTTGCAAATCATTGTAGGTAATCCCTTCGAAAAATGCAATGCTTTAGTATCGATCGAGTTTTGCTGGAGCGTAAAAATTATCATTTTGGGATGTCATATCTCCCTTACAATCACATTGTAAACTGTGAGAGGCCTCTTTAAGGGAAGAAACTGCCGGAACTGTCCAAGGATCAGCTATGGAAACCGCACTTGACAGGTTTCAGATACTTTATCCAATTGGAAAAGTTTTCCGACCGGGGAAAAATAATATTCCCACCTTTTTTTAAAAGAGCTGTTAAGACTTCGACGGAAAAATCTTGGCGAACAATCTAGATGGCGAAGACTCAGAATAGACTTTCCCTCCTTTTCCTTATTACATTCGGGCCGTGATCCGAGCTTTCGTAAATCGTTAGCCGTAAAAGCTCATATTCCCACGCAGGACAAATGATAATGGTTTTACGTCATGGATAACCTAACAGTCTTGTCCCATCAACAGTTCAGCTATAAGAAACCTCGCTTTGAACATTCTGGAGTGCCGGTGGATACGTTGTTTCTCTGGAACTTCCGATACTGGTGGATCACGTTAGTCTGATGACATTCAATTAATTCAACGTTCGGGAAATGTTTGTGGGCGGGAGGAGAAATCTTCCGTTCTGAGCTGAAACGTCGTATATGATACATCGAATGTCGCCAAGTTCCCGAGATAAAACATTTACATTTAGGAAACGAAGGATATTACTGATGCGAACTTCAAGAGACATTTTTCTGATTCAGAGGGGAACGCATTTGAGGGTAAAACATTCGATGAAAGCTTCCGATACGAATACATTTTGAATCCGACCAGTAAAGCGAAATAATAAGGTCTAATAAATTAATTTTCAAAGTGACAAATACTTGAAATGATTATGTTCATAACTTTTCGAAAACGTTATGGAACCTTTTCATCTACAAGGCATGTCAAACATTGCATGAGTATTTTTCCTCAAAATTTTCGGTTACACTAAATTGAAATGCGATAAAATGTTTTATGAAATTCAAAAGGAAAAGGCTCACAATTTTGCAGAAATGTCGTAATTTTTGCGGCGTTGAATAATGCATTTTCTCCAAAAACTTTCAAAAATACTACATTCAATAGCGAACCTGGGTGGAAATGAAACCACGAAATCTACTTGGCCCCCTCCAGAAAATTTGAGAAATTTCATTCAATAAGTACAAGACATACATTTCATCTCCAAAATTGTATTTTAATCAACTTTTCGAAAAGTTCACCTCAAAATTGCTCTAAAGACGAGTCAAAATTTTAAAACTTTCCTCCGCACCCCCTTTGTCAGAGAAGTCTCCAACTTACTTGTGGGGCGTCTTTCTGTGCCCCCGAAGACCCCTCTTAAGGAACTGTCTTTCTGCCCCCCACCCCGACAAAAAGTTCCTATGGTTCCGCTCATGATTTTGCATACAAAAATTTCAAAGACAAAAAGACACAAGTTTTAAAGAAAATTTGCGTTTTGTTGAAAGAAAATTGACAACGTCCGAATGCTCATAAGGCGTTTTCCTAAGCATTAATCGAGCGATTGGCGCCGGGCTTAGTGGAGTATTCTGCCGTGCTAAGGAAAAATAAGCCTTTAGACATTGCCAGATTTATTTCAATAAAAAACGAATTTTCTTGGAAAATTGCGAACATTTTTCTTCAAATTTTTCAGATAATTTTGTTTGCAGTTTGATCTAAAATATCTGAAAATTTCAGGATAAATTTGAATAACTTTCCTCAAAAATACATGTTTTATCCAGAGAAATTCGGCAACTCTCAAAAGCTCATATGCGGCGTTTTTCCTGAGCATGACAGTATTGCTTCCATGCGGCACTTGCGGTACAAACAGGGATTACATTGTAGGGATAAGGGTGCAGGGCTACAGGGCGGCGGGGAAGGGATATAAATAGCAGCGCCTCGTTCGGATTGTTAAAAGTGTCGTGCACATCGCACCCAAAGGCCGTTGGACGTTGACGTCTCGACGTCATTGCACCAAGAAGCCGCACAGTGGTAGGGTTATTCTTATCGCTCGAATTCCACTATGCTCTACGTAGAGAGGGTTGAGCGGGTCAGGGAACTGTCAGAGAACTGAACTGCATTTTGCAATTTGGAGCTATAAATTCTGGCTCATCTGAAAAAAACACTTATGTGCATAGGGAAACTAATGGCACAAACGTTATTTTTAAACCGGGCTAGAATCTATAGTTCCAAATTGCAAAATGTAGTCCAACTATAATAGAGGGGCTAGAGGACAAAGCGCATGAGTGAAGTTTTTAGTATTTCGAGAGCAGTGGCGTGGCGTGAATTGCGATACATCGATTGTTCTGACATTTAAACCTATGGTAAAGAATCGATTATTAATATGTTCGCTGCGAACGAGCCTGTTTATCGATCCTTTTCCATAGGTTTAAATGGCATAACAATCGATCCATCGCAAAGCACACCACGCCACTGTTCGAGAGATACGTGTTTAGAGTTTTTTTTTGCATCGAAAGAAAAAAAGACGGAGAGAAAATTCAAACTCAAATTTTGATGCTCAAAAATTGGATTTTACCGATGAAATTTTCACAGAATATGTTTCAAAATTTGATTTGGTTGAAATTACTGATACCTCAATTTTTGTCAGAAACTGAACTCATGCGGTTTATCCTCCAAATTCCTTAGTTATGATGAGGAATTTTCTCATTTGATCAAGAAAGAACAATACAAAAAATAGCTAAAATGTAACATCCAAACGAATTCACACTATTTTATAAAATTTAAGATAAAAAAAAATAGAATGAATAATTCCAAAGTAGGTACGATGAAATTATGCAATCCGATCAAGATAACCATTTTTATAATTTTTGATGGTTTAATTAAAAAAAAAAAAAAATCTGATAAAGAGGAGACTAATAATTTGACAAGTATTGATGTTATTTTAACATTATCTTTTACGTCGGTACATACCATTACTATAATGCATGATTATTATGTTATAGTTTAAAAGTTCTTTTTTTGTCTTGTTGGCTGACATATTACCTCTCAAAATTAGTCACCTCACACATCGTTGAAAAAAAGAAAAAAAAATAGTGTAAGAAAATGCACTGAAAGGAGATTCGAGTGGACAAATAAAATTAAAGAAAGGGGGAGAAAGACTTACTTTGCTGATGATCCATCTTTGTTAGATCCATCTTGGGGAAGGAAGGTGTCGAGCTCAGTGGCCTGCGGCTCGCCTGTGCTTGGCTCCTGGAAAAACGAAAACTGAATTACGTCTAGCTCGGACATACGCAACTTGCTTTGGAATTGACCGAAATTGCGGGCTGACCACCGCTAAGCTATGCTGATGCAGCTGAAATCCCGGCTGAAAAGCTGAAATCACTCGATTACGTAATTGTTGCGGCGCACTACCGGCATATTGTTGTGCTTTCAGACCTTGTTTTACAGAAAAGTGCAAGTCTAAACAACAAACTGAAGAACGCGGAAAAACTGTCAGAGCGACAACGTGAAATTGTATACTTGTAGTTTTCTGTTTTTAAATGTTTTGACCGAAAACCTCCCACATTGCAAAAAACTTAGCGGCAATACTGTCGTAATATTATTTCAGAGATAAACAAGATATTTTGAAGGATTACTGATTCAATATCACCTGCAACTATTCACAGCAATGCTGTTGGATATGGTATCTGGCAGTATGCAGTATCTTATTCTCCGATTTTTGAGGGCAAATCACTGATGAAAACCAAGGGTTTATTTTCACTTTCCCTCAGATGCTTTCACTGGAAAAGAACACATTGGATCTAGAGTCCAGACTCTTGAAAACATTGACAAGAAAAAGGACTCTTGATTCAATTAGATTTAAGCTTACATCAAGAACCAAGCCTCTTAATTTGAGCGGATTTCCTTTTGATTTAAGCTTAAATCTGATTGAATCAAGAGTCCTTTTTCTTGTCAATGTTTTCAAGAGTCTGGACTCTAGATCCAATGTGTTTTTTTTCCAGTGTTAGAATTTTCATCTAAGTTAAACATGTATTGATTTTTTCTTATTCAAGGTTTCCTCACAATGAACTATGTAGCATAGTGCGTAATGTGCAAAAACAGTGTTGCCAACTTGAATAATCGCCAATGGATACCGTCCCATTAGAGGCTACGGTAAAGAATAGCTTGGTCAAGTGCGCATTGTGAACGATTTTTTTTCCATAGGTTTAAATGGCAGATCAATCGACAAGTGGCAAAATGCGCTACAACAATCATAGGTGGTCACGTCCCTTCATTTGCCGAGAGACCAACTATCTGCACCGAAGAAAACTCACCCCAAGTGCTCGAAATTGTATGAGGGGAGGGGCTTGGAGGACAAGACGCAGAAGTGCAGTTTTTGCTACTTCGAGAAATACATGTTGGAAGTTTCGAAATTACATAGATCCTTATGGCAGAAAGGAGGTCCAAACTGACTTTTTGATGCTTAAAAACTGGAATTTGGGAGCGAATTTTTCACTGAATATGCACTAGGGCTAGTTTTACTTGAAATCATCAATATCTCAAATTTTATAAAAACTACACTTATGCGCCTTGTCCTCCAAGCCCCTCATATCATTTATCTTCCAACGAAATCAGACCCTAAAAAATTGAATAAAAAAATAGTGGAACAAAATTTTTCAGAGGCGGAAAATCTTACCTGTCAAGTGACGCGTGGCAGTGAGCCGTGAACTCAGATGATGAACTGATGATTTATAACTCTGCAATCGCATCATCACCGCGTTTTTTTCTCCTTTTTGCGGCCGACTGCGTTTCAACGCGTCCTATCCACCGGAAATGGACACGGTGGCAAAAGCGGTTGGACGCAATGGATCGGTCGGTGGTAAAACTCAACAAGTCCGTTTCCTGATGACCCTTCAAGTCCGTAGGAATGCCTACGAACCGGGGTTCGCCGGAAAATGGACGCATCAAGTTTCACCGCCGATCGCGATTCTGGTTTTTTTTATCTTTTTGAGGTCGCGAGTTCACGACTGCTTACTGCCGTATCAAGTGAAAAAACGCATGAAAATTTAGACGTTGCTAAATTTCCTTCGATATAGTAATGTGAGTTTTCTGGGAGGCATTTGTAATTAAAAGTGTTTCTGGACAAACTCTGAAAACAAAAATTGAACAGGGAGATTTTTGGCTTCCCATAAAATAAAAACCTAAAAAAGCAGGGTAAGGAAATAAAAAAGAGTGACGCTGAAAATAAGAAATACTGACCATTTTTGCTGAGAGTTGAGAAGAAGTGGTGTGCGTCAATCAGGAATCGCTCATTCAGGATTTGTTAGTCCTACCGGCTGACAGCCTAAAACAAATCAAAAGAAAAATATTAAAAATAATTTTTTCTCAAAATAAAACAATAATTTACGTAATCATGAACGAATTTCAACTTGCGGATACACTCTTCTGACAGTAAATGACTCGTAAAACACGACGAGCACGCATTTGAAACGCGAAAAAGTTACTCAGAAACCGAGAAAAACGGAGTTAAAGAAGCGCAAATTTTCCGCAAATTTAAAACGCTTCGGCTTCGCGCCGAACCGAATGATGTGGTCCGGCACCAATTAGAAACGAGCATGGGTTTCTACAACTTCCGTCAAATGTCATTCTATAAAGAAAACAATATTGTCGTTTCATATAAGAAAACAATAGGAAAATCAAAACTACCCTGGTAAAAATTGGCAGTAGAATCAGTGTTCCAAAATACCATAAACCTAAAGCCGGCTGTTAGATTTTCAATAGCTTCTATAGCCGGCTGCAAAATTTCTTATAGTCTTTTATAGCCGATGGCGATTAAGCAACAGCCAGGCGATAAAGTGTATGCTAAATGTTACTAATTACGGATGCTAAGACTTAGTGAGTTTTTGGACTACCGCTCTATTTTTGGGCCGTAGTATCTTGATTTATTTTGAGCGGAAAGTTTCGTACTTTTGAAGGATACCTGCCATTCCTAATATGATGGAGCGCCTTCAATTTCGTATGATACTGTGCAATACCTCTGGTGTGAAATAGTTGCTTAAAGCGCCGTGGCACGCTGCGGCGCGGCGGGCGGGCAGCCAGCGCGAAAAGCGCATAGATACTTCACGCATTGCGCAATGCGTGAAGTATCCCTGTTAGGTTTGTAGGCGCTAGTGCGCGCTTATCGCTGGCAGCACGCCGCGCCACCCCGCTCTGCGCTAGGCTCCAATATATAATCTCGCGGAGTCAGCGTTTTTCAACTCATGATTTTGAAATGTTTGCACATCCTGTAAGGATTATTCTCATTTTAATGGATGAAAAAAATATGTATTGAAGGAAAATATAATGTGTGTTTTGTAAATATTATGATGGTTCCGTATCAAACTTAATGATTTCCAAAGCACACGAATTTCTACACAATTTCTTATGGCATTTTATAGCCGATGGCGATAAAGTGTAAAGCCCGGCGATAGGAACTATAGCCCGGCTGTATACTTTTTTATCGCTTCGTATAGCCCAGCTATACATATGATTTGCTCCGCTTTCTACAGCCAGCTGTATGATTTTCTATTGCCTTCTTTAGCCGGCTATAAAAATTCCTACGGTATTTTGAAACGCAGCTCCTATCGCCAATTTTTACCAGGGTATATCTTCAGAACCAAATAATCGAATCTCATTCATGTTATCTGTAGATTAAATAAAAGAAAATTTAAATAATTTGAAATTTTTAAAGACATTTTTTGTCTGTAGATACCAAGCAACAATGCCACATTAAAACACGTTTTACGTTTATGAAAAATGGTCACTCCTAATAATGTTCAGCGCTAAATTGGACGTATTTCTGTCAAACGGAACCATGTGCATTAAGGCGTGAGCCCTGAGACCAATAAGAATGTACGCATAACAGGGCTCACGTAGTAATGCAGATAGTTCCGTTCGGCAGAATTACGTCCAATTCATGCAAGGCCTCAAAAATAGCGAAATTTCGAAGCGTTTAAGGGGGTTCACGGGGAGACCATCTTTTTACCATGAAAGATCCGACATACCCTGAAATACACCATCAACTCGAGAGGCCGATATTATTTTTTAGGCATCGGTGGATTGAGCATGAGAAATTATGGAAAGTAACTATTTATCAAGTATTTCAGTCCAAAAATGTTGCCAAAATTTAGAGAGACCGATTATTTTCCAACAAATTGATTAAAATTCCTGGGCAAAGTGTATACCGCTCCATCTGGAGGCACTTTTCGAAAGAACCTTAAAGATGGAAAACCTTCTTATTTTGACCCATTTAGACAACTTTCCTGTAATCGGTTAATTTAAACCGGATCAACCTTTCAGTATTTTCCAGTATTACAACTCTGCTGGAATCTTTCCTTGTGACACTGAAAGCGAAAAAAATGCCTGCTTAGAGGATTGACGGGTTCGCAAGACAAATGACCCGAAATTCGCTTACAGTGTCACACACATTCCGGCTGCGCAAACACCAAACCGAGCGAACAAACACTCGGAGACTGTGCATGCAAGTAAGTCATCGGTGCATCAACAGCTATTTTGCATGGAAAGTGGGTCACCGATGCAATAAGACGCGAATTTTACTTTAAGGTTTGGAACTTTATATAGACGTACCGTTCACGTTCCAGGCTCAGAGGCCGAAAGTTCCGGGTGCAGCACCCGAGACTCTCGGCCTTTGAGCCCGGAACGGCCGTTATGTCTATATAACCCGGAACTGTTTTTTTCAGTATGAGCTTTACTTTAACTCTGAAAGTATCTTTTACAAACTGGAGCAGAAAGCTTTAGGGAAACTTTGGTCTCGAAAATATTTTGTCTCAGTTCGTATCATCAATCTTCTACCTTGATTTAGCCGCCAAATTGGCGACATTTTATGATCATTGCAGGCGCATTTCTGTAAAAGTCATCACGTGTAAACCTAGGAAATCGATAAACCTAATACAAACATTAAACAAATATTAACATATATGTGATTTATAAAAAAATTAAACTTAATAAGTAAGATAACACTTTATAGCCCAAAAGATTGTCATGTTAAAAACTACAGAAAAGGGAATAGTATTTGAACAGACAAATCTATTAATTAAGTCTATCTATACAGGAACACAACTTTAATTTAAAACAAACCAAATTAATCTGGAAACTACAATTTTAATTATATTTATTTTTATGCGAGAGGTGGCCTGTAATCCACCTTCTTTTTTTTTTTTTTTTTTTTTTTCGTGTCCTTACTCGCGAAATGATTCTTTTCGCTCGCGCTTCTTCGCCGCGAGGGATGGGGAGGGGGTCTTAGCAGCAACAGATTTGTTTACTCGCCAAAGAGTCAAGTGCAATGTCGGCGTTAAATTGCACTCGACGATACGAGAGAAATCGCGAGCGTCGATCGTTCACCTGAGATCCGGCGAGGGCATTGCCGTTAAAACGACTTAACTGTGTGGCACACGATACCGACGGATACGTCGTTTCTGTCCCTTGGAGTGCGCGCTCCGTTATCGTTCGAGAGGACGGATTTGCGAGCGTGTGAGAGGCGGTTGTTGAGGAGGTATCTCCAGCTCAAAATCTTCGACGGTTACGGGTGGATGACGAAAAAAAAACAACACTTGAAGATCTCGAATCAACAGCAGGGGAAAAAGTGTTGACTTTTCCACAAGAAAACATGTCGTTAATTTCATACTCGCAAATATCAAAAAGGGGAAGGGGAGTCTAGGGTCTTCTAGGGAAGTCTGAATCAAAATTTTACTTTCTATAGTCTAAAGCTTTAGTAAGCTGATTACTTTCGTATACTTACTATTAAAAACTATATTTTGTGAAGTTTTTCTTCACCGAGAAAAACTACGGCATATAAATCAATTGGGGGGTTCATATGGAACACCACTAACGGTAGTGAAGGCAACATATAATAATCGCACATACCTTAATGATGGTGCGAGATACCTTAGTATGGTTCACAGACCGAGAATCATTAGTTCATTTACGACTGCTAGTGGAGTTCCATATGTACAAGTAATAGGTTTATAATGCCATAGATTTTTCTCCGTGTGGATAAAATAGATTATTATAGTTAATTAGATTTTTGATTGATCTCTACAATTTTAGGGAACTGCACTCGGAATCACCAAGAAACGAGAAAAAGTCTATGGTGAAAGTGGAAACACGCATCTCAAATGCGATGGCTCGACATTTTCTTCCGCATCTACCAACTTTTTTAAAAGACGATTTCCAAACTTACCGTTACAACGGAGAGCTATACTTTATACGTGCTTTGTCTAGGGTTTCACTCCTAATGAAAAATTCCTCCATTTTTTATTCCTAGCAACCATGCACTTGCACTCAGAGACAGGTTTGGTAAGTATTGAACACCGACCTTTTTCGGTTCTGATAACCGTAGTTATCGGTCACAGAAACCAAACTTTCGTTCAGCATACCGAAATTCGGTTTCTATGATCCAGTACTTCGGTTGCTTGAATCGAGAGAGTTCGGTGCTCAATATGAACCAAAGTTCAATTCCTGTAACCGAACTTTTTTTCCTCGGTGCACGTGAATGTGGGTCAGCTCCCTTCTTACCGAAGCGACACGTGGACGTACTTATGCTAAAAGGAACTATGTGCATAGGGTTAGCATGGGACATAGTTCCTTATAGCATAAATACGTCCACGTTTGTGTGCGGTATTTGCGATTCCGAGCACCATGAGCGAGTATATCGTGACGTTAGCTCCCGACTTGGGTTCGAAGCGCGTCGTAAACTGGAATCGTAAAACAGGAGTTACGATGCGTAAAAAATCAATAAGGAGCCCAGATTATTCTCCATACTCAAGGTGCAAGGTTACCGCACAGGTGAACAGGCCGAGCGGTGTGGTGTATCGAGAAATTATTGGTGGATCGAAATCGACACTCCAAATTCCGGCGGTGCGGAGGCACAAAACTAGAGCACGTGAATTTGACGTTTACAGTTTACTGCTGTGCTAAGGAAAAACGCCGTATGAACGTTCGAATGTTGCCAAATTTCCCCTGACATAACATTTATTCTGGAAGTAAGTTATGCATATTTTCCCTTGAAATTCTCACACAATACAGATAAAATTGAGAACAAAATTGTGTGAAAAATTGGAGGAAAAATATTCACAACTTTCTCGATAAATTCGTATTTTATGAAAGGAAATTTGGCAACGCCTGAAGGTTCACACGGCGCTTTCCCTTAGCACGGCAGCATAGGATCCCTACATGTCCCTTTGCCCACTTAGTCTATACTTTTGTCTATCAATTTCAACAATCAGCCCGCTGGAATCAACTCGATCCAAGCGATGACCGACAGAGAGAGCGTGCAACTCCCACAGT